GGTGCCCGTGGCGCCAGCCCGCGCGGCCCGCGCGGCAGTGGACAGGGGCGCGCCAGACGAGACCGCGCCGCAGCAGGACCTCGCGCCAGTCTCCTCGGTCGGCCCCTGCCCCCGGGGCGCCTCGGCAAGACTTCGTGCAGTCGCCGGGCGGAGGTTCCGGCTTCGTGCCGCGGTGGGCGCGGCGGTGCTCGACGACGCCCATCTGGGCCTGCGCGTGCCGCCGTGCAGGCCGACGGCCCCGTGGTGGCCGACCGCGTCGGTCGCGGGCTCGAGCTCATCGAGCGAGTCGCCGTGCTGCCTGGCGGGCACCGATCTATCGGATGGCCGGTAATGCGTCGTCGTCGACGCCGGCGCCTGGGCGAACTCTTGGGGATTGCACTTCGCCGTGAATTTGGCCCGCGGGGCCCGGCAGGCGAGGCTTCGAGCCTCCGAGGAGAGGCTTTCAACCAAGTTGTGCGGGCGCCGCGCTGCGAGGTTCGCTGCCTCATCGCGACGACTCCGCGCGATGGCGTGGCCAGTCCGCGCGGCGTGTGCGCTCGGGCCGTGGAGGGCGCAGGAGCTGACTTCCCTGCCTCTATGGGTCTGCAGTCCATGCAGTCCGACGACTGGGCGGCGGAGGGGCGTGGACCACGAGCGCCTCGCCTTCCCTGGGCCAGACTGCTGCGAGATCACATGGGGCCCTGGCGCCGTCCAGAGGTCCTCGCTCGATTCCCAGACCTCGCTAGTGGACTTCAGGATGGTGGTGACAGCGGAACCGCGGACCTCCTTGAGATCCCACTGGGATCCGAGCGTGGGGGCGGCCGTCTAGTTAGAGGCGACGACGGTGGGGGCGATCCCGTGGAGGACGCCGTGATTTTGCATGGCCGGTGCCAGGAACTAACGGATACCGGACATGAGTTATGTAATCATATAATTACCTCTACTGAATAATTTCAGTCCCTCTAGTCGACCCCCGCCCCCGTTCTGATTTCAAATGCGGTGCTTGTGTCTTGCGAGCATGAAAGGCCCGCGTTCAATCGGGGCTCCATGAGCTTGCGTGAGCATGAGCAGAGCGGCGCCCTGGCTTCCTATCAGCGGACAGGCGGCCCCATGGCGGCCATGGAGGTGCAAGAGAATGATGGTACTGCAGTATGATCTCGACTCCGATGAGCCCGGTGAATATGCCGAACTCTGCTTCGGCGACGAGATGGCACATGTTACACTGGACGAACCCCAACTGGAAGTTATTCTCCCTGACAAATCAGCTACCTGGTCCACGTATCAGTGCAAGTCGCGCGAGCTGTGGTGGTCAAAGCCGACGACCTCCTCACCAAACAGGACATCAGCAACAACCCTAAACAGGCACCACTTGCACTCCTTAGTCGAGCTCAAAATCTGATAGGATAATCGGTGCTTCGTCAAGGAGCTGGTGTCCAATGATCAAGACGTAATGACCTCGAGGAACGTGTGCATGTGGAAGTTTGTTTAGGCAGAGTCTGGGGAGATGAAACAGGTTATGCGGCTTCTCCTTGCTTTTGGATGTTTATGGGCCAGTGTGCTTTCTCCGTGTCAGCATTCAGTTTTTGTGCAGCGCGGCGCACTTCTCAGTGACATTTTGGCCAGTGAAGCATACTGTCACCAAGACTGGTTCTGGTCCGCCTCGACGTAGACGGCTATTGTCAAATCGGTTTCTTTTGCCTAGAGGTGGCCGAAGCTACAGGTGAGCAGGAACGTATAGTTTTGTTTATAGTACCTCCTGGTAGTGCAGCTATCCTTCGTACCATGCCCGGCAGGACTGCGACCCGTCGCGACATTGCTTGAAGTGCCTCAAGCCTGGCACAGGATGTCCCCGTTTTTTTTTCAAGCTGAAGAGGCCGCGGGGAACAGCCTGAAACCCATGTCGCATGACCCAGAGTTTGATGCCACTGCGGGCCTGCTCGCGGCCCAGCACGTTGACGACGTCAACGTGTGTGGTAGGGGGTCCCACATATACGCGTGCTTACGTTTAATTATTTGCGCAGGTATTTGGCCACACTTAGTTGAACAAGCATGCCTGCGTGGATTGTGCTGTGAGGTAGGCCAAGACGAAAAAAGGGTGATGTTGTTTTTGGTCATGATGAGTACGTCAAACAACGTCGCCCGAGTGTATCCTTCTCCTGAAGGGGCTTCCCAGAGTCAGCGGCTAATAAGTCTGTCAGCGGTATCTTTGTTAGCCTACGGGGGGCCGTATTCAACCTGCTCCAAACGCGCCCAAGCTTGGGTCATGGTATATACTGTTTCGTTACAGCGTATTTGGATACCGATCAATATGCAGATGAGACGACTGCCCTTGCCCGCCAAGTGCTACAGGAACCTAGCAAGATTCCTCACCGCGCCGTCGCCGTGGCCCATAATGGCGCAGTGGGCCTGCGCAGTGACTTTTGGTATTGAGAGCTCACCTGTGACGAGGACGACGAGACCGATGACCGCGACTTTCGTGGGTGCCATTTGCCGCGTAGTGGGCACGCGAGCAGCGAAGGGGAAATCGCGCGCTGCGTTGACATCCTCTGCAAGTCTCATCGTGTCAAGGTGAGGTCAAGCTACGTTGCCGAAGCACTTGGCGCTGCTCACGGTCCGGGTGAATGTTGCCCTACTCTGATAGCGCGAGCGCGGCATGAGCTCATCAAGGGGTCCCTGAGTCCTTCGGGGCTGAAGCGCCGCCGGGAATGCGGTGGGTCCTGTATAAAAGGCACCTCTCGGTCGACGCCGTGTGAATGTAGAAGTGTTTTTTTTCCCAGCGAAGATTTTAAGACACCCGCCGAAAATGTATTGTTTGGGGCACGCTTGCTGCCTAGGGAATTCTTGGGCCCCGGCGCCATCGACAACGCGCGGTGGTGCGACGCCCGTGACGTGACAGCGGATGGCCACGCCAATGGTACTATCGACCGTGGTTTGCTTCTACAGGTTATGGTCGGCTACCAGAGCTACACCCGCGAAGTCAAGTCATGTGCACTGCGTCGAGGCAACGACCTCCCATCGCCGAGAAGTGAACGCTGCGGTTGCTGAGCCGCTTCCGTACGTCTCAGAGGTCTGGAGCATTGCTCAGCTGCGGCCTTTCTGAGTATGGAGAAGGGGGGCCCTCTTGCTGTTCCCGCGCAGATATGTCGCGGACCCGCGAATGCTCAGAAGCGAAGGCGCTTCCGCGCTCCTTCCGCATGCTGCGGTCGCTGGGTCGCGACCTCATGCTCTGCGCTCGGTTGTCGCGGGCACGCGACCTTCCTCAATTTTTCTTGCGCTGATTTGGGATCAGCCCTCGTCGGTCTGCTTCTGGGTTTTCAGGATGGACCCTCCGGTCCGTTTTGTCCAAGCTGCATTTTCCAATTTTTTCCTTGGCCGCTGCACTTTGGAGCTCCTTGGCCTGGCTCATGGAAACATGGCCTATCCCCTCGCATTTTTTTTTGTTTTCTCCTTCTTCTTCTTCTCTACGCGTTGTTTAGGTATTTGAAGATACCGATCACAGACCTTTCTCGCTCTCTTTTGGGGCGCCGCCTTGGGCCCACATGCAAGGTGGCGACGGCCGACCATTCGTTCCCCCCTTCAATTTGGAAGATGTGCCCCGAGGGCATAGCGCAGCTCGCTCGGCCGCCGCCGCCTCGTCTCAAGGCGGCGCCGCCCGATCTGCCTACGCTGCTGGCGCTGGCGGCAGCGTATAGTTTGCGGTCTTGGTCCTGACGCACTGCTTCTCTCCTGACCCTACGCCGCTGCCACCATCGCATCTTCCACTCTTACATGTGATGCTGCGCTGCGATGGCGACCGGGTCTTCGATTCTGACGCCCTCTCGGAGCCAACTCGGGCCATTTTTGGCGCTCTGACCGATCCCGCCCTCCAGAAAAAACAACCAGGAAGGGGGGGAGGTAAACTTCCTGGAAGGGAACGGGTTCTTTGGAAGAGGAAAGGAAACACTCGTCATGCTACCTTAACCCAAAGGGTTGGTGGGATTTTTGCGAAGACCGGCAACCCCGCACGAAAAGCAATTGGTGTTTGGTGAGCCCCGCGGCCCCTCATTTCAATGTTGATCGTTCGACCAGCGAATTGTTAAAACAACAATTCTGCACCGCATTGAGTGTAGAAATTGGAGGGGGGGGATGTGTGTAGAAAAACACCAGTTGCTTTGGGTACGGGCGGGTATGACGGCGGATATTGGAGGGAGGGTGAATGACAACATCGTTGGTGCGTCTCTGGTTGTTTGCATTGGTTCTGCTCCTCCTCCTCCTCCTCCTCCTCCCCCTCCTCCTCCTCCTCCTCCTCCTCCTCCTCCTCCTCCTCCTCCTCCTCCTCCTCCTCCTCCTCCTCCTCCTCCTCCCCCTCCCCCTCCTCCCCCTGCGCTGCGCTCGTGCTGAGACGCCGTTGCCTCGTCGCGTCCTGCTGGCGACGCCAGCGCCGCGCGCCCGTGGCCCGGCCAGAGGAGGAGCGAGGGCCACACCCCCGCTTGAGCTGCCATGCCCACCTGCTCCCCTCCTCCTCCTCCTCCCTCGGCCTCCCTCCTCCTTCTCCCTCGTTCCTTCGCCCTCATCCTACCTCCTCCCTCCTTTCTCCTCCTCGTCCTCCTTCCCTCCTCCTCGTCCCTTCTCCGCCTCCCCGTCCCCTCCCCGCTCTCTCCTGCTCCTCTTCCTCCTCATCCTCTTCCTCCTGCTCCTCCTCCTCCTCCTTCCTGACTAGTTTTAGTTTCTTTGTCGTTTGTTGTTTTCTTTGTTTGTTTATGCTTGCTCTTTTTGAAAACCCAGGGCCGCCCTCGTTGCCGCCCACCTGGCTCGGGGGGTCCGTCGAATTTACACCACAAAACTTGAATACGCCACATAGCTTGCACTACACAGTTTGCACCGCATAGTTTCACCACGTAGACTGCATCACATAACTTACACATCCACAATGCAACAACTTATTGTTTGGAGTCCACGCTGGCTAGCATTCGTTCGTTCCATGGTATGTCTCCGCATTTGTCGGCGACTCACGGCGCAGCCCAGCCCCCTCTCCCCAGCAGGAGTTCACGAAGCGGCCGACGTCGTCGGGGGTGGTTGCGTACTTCGTCGCGACGGGGCCCCGCTCCGTGGACAGATGCGGCAGGACGGGGGGGGGGGACGCCGAGGTCGAGCAGGACGAGCAGGACGAGAAGGAGGAGGAGGAGGAGGAGGAGGAGGAGGAGGATGAGGAAGAGGAGGAGGAGGAAGAAGAGGAGGAGGAGGAAGAGGTGCAGCACTGAACCGTGTCCCGAGGGCGATGTCAACGATGCCCCCTAGTGGCGACCCACCTTGGCACTGCCCCAGTGAGAGGGAGAGAGAAAGAGGGAGGGAGAGAGAGAGAGAGAGAGAGAGAGAGAAAGGGCGCGCCAACGAGACAGACTCTGGCCCGCTGGCGGGCGGCGCGCGAGCGCACCAGCGCCTCAGACGAAACTGGCGACGGTGCCAAGCCACCGCTGACGTGGGCCGGCTTCTCGTCCTCGGTGATGTGGTGTGGGCGGAGGCGGCGAAACGCAGCAAGGACGCAACAAGCATCGAAAGGTTCGATGCAAGCGCGTGCACCTCTAAGGATCCCCCAAAAGGACGCACGCGCCCAGCCATGCAACCGAGTATGCCCCTCCCCGGTTCGCGAGGCCGCCCTGATGTTTCTCTCGAAGCCGGTGTAAGTTCATGTGCGCGTACGTCTGTGCACTTCAGCCGTGGTGCGCTTCGAAGCGAGTTCGGGCCAGTTCACGCGAGTCGGTTTTCCGCTCTCACGGGTGCCTCCCTCCCTCCCCTCCCTCCTTCCCGAGAGCGATAGGAGAGAGGCGCCGAAGCGTGTTTTCGACGCGGACACGGGAGGCACAGCACTCCTGTGCACAACGGGCAACGAGGTTCGAAGGCTCGGAAGGCAAGCGGGAGAACGTGAGCTTCTTTGCCTGCATCACAGCCTCGCTGCCGTGCAGGAAGAGGATGCAGGGGAGGGCATCCAAGCCCACGGTGGAGTACTTCGACCCTGAGGGTTTGCACGACTTTTTGTTCAATTGCCCTGGGAAAGGCAGCTGCGGCTGCCTTCAGTTCTGCCAGCTTGTTGTATCACGTTGGCAGGCAGTCGGCGACAGACGGATGAGGGGCAAAGTGCCTGACACAGTGCCTTTGAAGCATTGCCCAGTTTTTGGTGGATCCTCTTTGTGTCGTTGCGAGCTCTTCCTCCCCACTGCCTCCATGACCCCCATGTCCGCTACATCATTCTGAGTTATGTGGGCAGGGGCAATCATGCTGGAAAGGGTGTCTTGGGGATCAGGGTTTCAGGGACTTCGGATGCTCTGTTAGCTGGGATTGTTGATAGGGTTGATGTATGAAATCCTCCCGATGAGAGTTCTCCCATTCTTGAAAGCAACGTAGGGTGTTTCAGCATACGACAGTTGGTCTCACACTCAGCTGATCCAGTAGCAAGTTGCTGACAGGAGCCTTGGGTGGAGGGGGAGAGGGTGAATAGGTGAAAGTCCACGCCCCAGAAAAGGTGTATCAGACCCTGCCGACCCACCTCTACCAACAGCAAAAGCTAATAATCACTTCCACCTCATTGACACCTCACCTGCGTTGCCTTGCACGCTCCACGCCAAAGTCCAACGAGATTCAGTGCACATTGGGAATAGTAGGTCTGTGCGTCAGAGGCTGTTGCTCTTGCAGTGTGACTCTGTGATCGGGGGAAGGGTCCATTACCGCACAGCGTCGCTCTGCGGAGGATACGTGCTGTCCTGCGTTTTTGCAGTTTCGAATTGTGAGTACTATTCTCGTATCCCCTCAGATTCTGTGCGAGAGAGGCGCCTTTTCTCCCGCATGCTGATTTCTAACGCGCATGCTATCAAACAGTAAGGTGATGTAGAAAGTGCGATGTCCACAACATCGAGTGTTTTTTTGTTTGTGCGTGTGTGTGTGTGTGTGTGTGTGTGTGTGTGTGTGTGTGCAGTTTTTTTGTGGTTTGCCTATGTTATATGTGCCGTTTTAATGTAAGTGTTCTAGGTGCTGTTTGTTTTGATTCGAGTTGCAAGCCCCAAACAAGCACAACACACATATACATGTACAGGTATCTCTCTCTCTCTCCCCCTCTCTCTCTCTATGTATGTACAGATTTGGTATTCATGTTAACACGTGTTTTTTTTGTTGGGGGGGGCCTTTTTTTTCAAGTTATGGGTGCAGATAGTTGTTTCCTGTGTGGTGTTTCGTTGTTGCGTGTTTTGCATCTATGCATTGTTGTCTTTGTACGTTTTGTTGTTGTTGTTGT